TCAGACCCCGCCCTTAATTCTGACCTGATGAGTCAGAACCTGTAGTTTCACAGGATCCCCAGGCGAGTTGGATGACATGACAATGTGAGAAGCACTGCATTTGAACAAACCCACAGCTCCATCCAAATGCCCTGAGGTTGTCAGGCCGGGGACAGATGGATGATGGTGGGTGGCCGTGTGGCCCGAGAAGGCATCCCAGAAGACCCAGGGGCCCGAAAGCAGGGGAGAGGAGGGCAGATGGACAGGCAGACAGACAGGCAGACAGCCCAGCGCTGTGGGAGGCAGGCCACCTGACAGCCCAAAGCCTCACAGCTCACAGCAGCTAAGGGAACAAACAGGGGCAGGGCTGGGCAGGGGAGCAGCCCCCAGCCTCGTCACGTAGCAGTCACACCACGGGGAACTGAAGCCTTGCCACGGGGAAAACCTGGAGCCCTGGCTCCCCGCCCCGGTGACACAAGGGGCCCGGCCCCATGGGGCTTCTGCGCACCCCGCATCCCGGGAGCTCTTGGGCCCTGAGCTGGGTGCTGGCCTTTGCCCCCAGCCCAGTCTTGTCAGGATGAACATGTCCTCATGACTGGAGAATCCTGCTGCCCCCTGTGCCAGCTAACAGCACTGCCTGGGCAGCTCACCTTGGAATTCCCCTCTGCACCAAGGCGCCCTTCCCCCTCCCCTGGCACCGCGAGGCCTGCAGCTCCTTTAGGGCCTGGCTTTCTACACTACAACAGATAAGAGTGAGTGCCCATATTCCTGAGAGCAGAAGGCGCATTCTTGGGCAATGGCCTCCAGGAAGCCCCCCCTCCCACCAACCCAGAGCCGGGCTGCTCCCTCCTTCCTCCTCACCACCTCCTATGCAAACAGTCCGGCCTCTGGTTGAAGGGGAGAAGCTGGGTGTAGGACTGAGGAAACAGAAAAGTAGTGCCCACACTGCCTCCTTCTGCATCTGACTCTGCTCCATTTTCGTGCCCATCCTGCCAGCAAAGGGAGGCCCCGGCCTCAGGTTACAGACGGCCCCAGGGAGCCCAAGCTCCAAGAGGCTAGCACCTGCCCCTGCCAGGCCAGGCACTCTTTGCTGGGATGGTCTAGAGAGAGTGTGGTTCACACCCTAGATGGTCTTCAACTTAAGAGAGTCCACAGACCCCAGAAATTGAGTGTCCTGTTGTGTCTGGATATACGTGCCTCTTTATCGATAGACACTCTATGGTTTCCTGCAAGTTCTCACTTAGGTCCCTGACACAGGTTCAGAACCATTGGCCTGAGCCAAGGACAGAGACCCACGTGGTCCACCCAGGACTATGGGAAGGAGGCAGTGAGAGTGGGGGCGGGGCGGGGCTCCCAGCAGCATCATGATCTCCGACAGTGTACTGGAGCTGCTTACCTCCACAGGGTGACCACAGGTGTACAGGTCTGACGTGAGCAACAGGATTCCCATTGTCCTAGATGGGAAAACTGAGGCTCAGAGAAAGCTCATAAGCCGAGCAGATAGGGCTGGGCAAGTGATGTGACGGGGGCAGTGGCAGTGCCAGGGGCCGGGGGCCCGCATCAGAAGTCAGGGTGAGGTCACCCTTGGGACTTATCAGACCCCTGGTCCAGGTTCCATGGTTTCAGAGTCCAGCGGTTTCTGTCCCAAGGAAAAGACCCTTTAGGGCACTTCTTCCCTTCCCTTCTTCACAGCTTCAAAAGGCTCAGGCTAGGAGACGGAAGAGCAGAGGGATGAGAAGGACCAAGCTTCTGTCTGCCTCCACTTTCAGGGCCAAGCTAGAGTTTGGGGCACAGGAGTGCCCCATCACTGACATCCCACGTGGGGATTTCCCTGCCAGCCCCCAGGTCTGCCCACACAGCTCCAAGACACCTGCTCAGACAGACACCGAGGCATACACACATCCAGGCAGAGCCCCTGAGCCTGACACTTGAAAGCCTGACAGGCTTCTGGGAACAAAACCAGGTACATTTCACTCGGATCCCCACTCCTTTCCTCTCTCTTTGGAAAAACACTATGTTTTATTTGTTCCGGGTTCCTGCTGCCCAGCTGGGCTCCCAAGACATGGCTCATGTGGAAGAAAGGACCCACCCAGGACCCAAGAGCTCAAGCAGCCTTGGGCAGGAGCCCAGGGAGCACTGCCCTGAGGGGCTGGCTGTGTGTCCTGGTCTCTTCCCTTACCAAACCTTAATATAAATTTTAAAAGGCAACTGGGAAGTGGGAGGTTCGGGTGGGGGGGGGGGCAGACAAGCCTGTAGAGCCCGGAGGAGCCATGCGATAGCTGGGGCCATGGTGAGGAGAAGGGCAAGCAGCCCAGAAAAGCCTCTCATTAGCCATGGCTGCAGGTCCCTCGGAGTGGAGTCCACTCAGCCCTCAGAAAAGGCACCCAACCTTCCCCCCGCAGGAACAGGAGATGCCAGAAGCAGCCCATGACAGTGAGCCCTGAACTCCAAACTGCAAAATCAATCTATCATGGTTTGCTGGAGATTCTTTATTAAACCAATTCTGCTGGATCAATGCTTCCTGCCCGTCGAAATGATGAATAAATCCTCAACTGGCCTGAGCAATGCTTGCAGAAGCTCTTCTGAGGCTGAGCTGAGCAGTGGGGAAGGGCTCCATGCAGAGGCCCATTGGCCAGTGGCTGAAACTCAGCTTCGGGTGTTGGTGGGGGTGAGGCCAGTTTGAGTAGTGGGTTTCCTAAGCTTAGAAACTCAGCCAGGCCCTTGCCTCTTTGACCTTGTGCAGATGAGACCAGCTGTTTTGGCCTAGAGGGATGACCACTGCCCCTCCAGACACACACACAGACGGTCTTTCTTGGATTTCTTTTCTTACACTCCACCCAGCCCCAGAGATGTGTGCTTCCAGCCCCCTGTCTCTGCAGCTTGTGGTACAAACACAGATTCAAAGCCCAGTCTGACCCTTATCCTGTTGCCCATTTATCAATCCTGTGGCATACACCCCTCTCGATCCCCGCCCCCCGCCCCCCCCCCATGTCCCGGCAGCCTGCAGTTAGTGAGAGAGTCTGCAGCAGGGGGACTGCAGACAGACATGCCAAGAGAGGAAGAGGAAAAGGAGGGAGGGGGGGGGGGGGGGGGGGGGGGGGGGAGGTTCCCATTTATGCAATCAACCCAGTCCGAACCCTTCACCATCCAGGGTAAGGGGAGACTGGGAAGGCAAGGCCCAGTTCCCAGAAGGTGCTCAATCAAAGCCTGTTGTCTGTGGAGGCCCGGCACGCTTGGGGTTGGCCCCTCGCACCCCCCACATCCCACGCAATGGGGTTGGCGAGGAGAACCCTGACCAGAGGCTTTCCGACAATGAAGACAGCGGGGAGACGAGCAAGGGAAGGGAGGGCCCCTCAACGCTCTCAAGCGGTGGATACTGGTACAGCCTACCTGCTACCACCTCTAGGGAGTTCCGAGGGAGGAGGAGAAGCCCAGGACACCCAGAGGGTGCAGGAGTTACAACTCCTGCCCATTCCTTCCTAGTTCAGGCTGGGAGCCTTAAGTCCTAACACTGACCGGAGGGGAGGAACCTGGTCCTGGGGAGCAGCCACGGTTCCTGATGGGAGGGTCCCACATTTGCTCACACAACTTGCAGACTATGCTTGTCTGTTTAGCCTGTGGCTTCCCACACTCTCTGGAATGGGAACCCTCGATATTAGGGTTACGAAGAGCAGTCCCTCGGAGAAAGGAAAGGTGGGGTGGGGGGGCTCTTGTCACCACTATTTTAAGCCATCGAGTGTTGCCTGACTGGTCACTCCCAGCACGAGAAATCTCTCTCATTGGATGGAAAATGGCTTTGCTCTCATTACAAACCTAGCTTCCCTGGAGTTTGCAAAGAGGGCTCTGGGTTGGCAAAATGCTCATTTATATTGGCAGGCTAGCAGGGTAGGCAGGGAAAGGAGCTAAATAGGGGGCAGGGCTGAGAGAGAGAGAGAGAGAGAGAGGGAGATGGAGAATGAATGAGACCCAGCTTTAGAGAGTGAATGCTTTTCAGACCCTCACTTCAGTTCTGTGTATCAGAAAAACTCAGGGGGGTGCTGAGGGGCCCCAAGACCTTGACTGGGATGGGGGGCATCCCTTATTTCAACTTCAGAGGCAATCACCGATCTCCTGTTTTGCAGATACCCCCACAGGCCCCGAGTGGTATCTGCTCCTCAGTGGCATCTGACTCAAGTGATGGGGGAGGGGGCAGGGTCCCTCTCCCCCACTGGCAGTCACACCATTTGTTTGCTGACCCGTGACTGACCCGGGAGAGTCCTAGTAGCTACTGGAGCTTGGGTCTCTGCGGTGAGAATGGGGCACTGGATAAGCCTGGGGTCACAGGACAGCCGCTCATCAGTCAGGACACCAGGCATCTTCCCTGACCACTGTGAGCAAGGTCATCCTATCCTGCTGGTCTGGGTACCAGGTGCCCAGGGTGCCTGCCCCGGGCCCCCCAACTTGCCATGAGGGTCTGGACCCAGGGATAAGGTGGGCATGGAGGACTTTTATCCTGGACCTCAGTCCTCCGGGGGCCCAGCTCTCCCTCCCCAGCTGCAGCTTCCCAGGGCACCAGGAGATGCTAATGCTTGGGGTCAGTGCCCAAGGAGCTGGCACCTCTGCCAAGAGGTCTGTCTCCCTTCATGGCCCTGCTCGTGAGGCGGAATGACCTGGAACTGCCTCTAGGATGGCCACCCTGACTCTGCAGCCCAGCACAGGGAGGTGGGATGTGTGGCTTAAAGTGGCAGAGCCTACTCCTGGCTGCCTGCAGGGCTAGGCCAGGCTCAGAACACCTTTTCAGCCGGCCTCTAATGTGGCCCAGATCCCAAGAGGGCGAGGACTGGAGCCTGGAACAGAGAAGAAAGTTCCCAGCGCGGTGCAGGAGGAGGTCTGGGGGTGTCTTGGTTCCTAGAGGCGCCCCACTTCTCTCGGAGCTCCCCGCGCGAGGAAGGAAAGTTAACTCCGGCTGAGAGGTAGGGCTGAGAGAGGAAGCATGCCTGCGACCCCTCAGGGAACCCAGAGGATCCCGTCGGCCTCCCTACCTGAAGTCGCTGTAGGGGTGGATAATCCAAAATCCGGCCGACTTCACCCTCTCCTGCTCGCGCTCCACGGCTTTCTGGCTGCCAAACATCCTCAGGGAGAATTTGTTGACCCCGGGCTGGAGCATTGCTCCGAACTGGCGCTGCATGAAGCCGGCCTGGCCCAGGCGCACCTCGGCCTCGGGGAGGATCTGGTCGCCGGCGGCCGCGCCTCCCTCCACTTTGATAGCGGTGTCCACCGAGGGCTGCTCGCAGGAGACGGAGGCCGGCTGCGGCGGCTGCTGGGGCGGCGGCGGCGAGGCTGCGGGCTGAGCCGAGGCGCCGGGGCGCTCTGGCTCGGCCGCCAGGCCCGGGGGCGTCCTGTCCTCTCCGGGGGACGCGTCGCCCTCGGCGATGAGCCGCCGCTCCTCCGCGGAGTCATGCAGGTGCCCGTGACTGCTGCCGCCCCCCGCTCCGGCGCCGCCGCCGCCGCCCCGGCTGCCCAGCGAGGCCAGACTCCCGCGGAAGCGCCTGCAGTCGCCGTTGGTGCTGGACTTGCCCGCGCCGCGGGCCGGCCCCTCGCCGTCCGCCGCCCCGAGGGCCGCGCCCCGGGGCTCCGTGCCGCCCGCGGCCGCCGAGGGTGAGGGCGAGGGCAGCGGCCGCAGCCGGATGCTCCTGCGGCTGGGGTCCTGGCGGCCCCCAGCCCCCTCCTCCTCGGCGTCCTCTTCCTCGTCCATGATCCACGCCTTGGCCCCCACCTGCTGCGGAAGGCTGTAGAGACGCTTGCGCATGGACGGCGGCAGCTTGTCCATGGCGCCAGGGGCCGAAGCCCGGCCGGGGCAGGGGCGCGGGTGCGGCGCCGCCGACCCGCTCCAGGTCCGCCCGCCGGTCACTCCGCCCGCGGGGACGCGTCCTTCGCCGCCGGCTCCGGGTCGCCTCAGGCGCCCATGCTTGGGCAGGCTGGGTGCCGCGGGGAGGCTCCCAGTCCGGCTCCGGGTCCCCGGGCTCGCCGCGCTGCGCCTCCTCCCGGGCCAGGCTGGGCGCGGGGACCCCGCGCTCCCTCCCTCTCTCCCTCCCGCGTTCGGGGGCGCGGCGCGCGGCCCGGCTCCAGGCGCCCCGCCCCCGCGGGGAACAATGGGCGCGGGTAGAAGCGGCGCTGCGGCCGCGGAGCTCGGAGAACCGCTCTGGAGCGCGAAGCGCACGACCCGCGCGCCTCCCGGGCGTGCGTCCCGCGGGCCGGCGGGCTGTCAGTCTGTCCCGCCGCCTCGGCTTTGTGGCCAGCCACTCGCGAGCTCGCCTCGCCTCCTCTGGCCAAGCCCGGCCGGCCGGTCCCGGGGCTCCCGCCGCAGGCGAGCGGAGCCCAGCGGCCCGCCGGGCTTACATCAGCGGCCGCCTCCCCCGGAGCGCCCTCCGGCAGCGCTCGGCTCCCGCGCCCCGGAATATTCATGAAGCCGCCGCAGCTCGCGGGTTGCCATAGGAGCGGCTCCCGCAGCCGGGCCTGCCTACCTGGGCTTCTTAAAGGAGCAGCCGCGCGCGGGCCGGGGACCGGGAGGGGGGCGGGGGGCGGGGGGCGGGCCCCACCGGGGCGCAGGGTGGACCCTCGCCAGACCTTAGCGGCTGGGGGGAGAGGCGTCCTTAATCCTACACCCTCAAATACCTTTCCTTGGCCAAGGCTGGGAGCGCGCCCCAAGTCTAGGATTCCAGCTTGGGCTGCGAATTTCCACCCCAAGACTGGGCGGGGGGAAGGGGCGGGGGACGGGGTTTCCCGATCTCTCCTTCTCCGAGCTCTAGGTTCGCCTTTCCGCGGCGGTTTAGCTTCTCAGCCGAGTCTCCGACCCACCTCTAGGGAGGCGGGCGGGTCGTCTGGATGCGGAGCCCCAGGCCTTTCCGCCAGGCGCCTGGAGAAGGGGTTTCCAGGAAATGCGCTGCCTCTGGGCTGCTCCCGGGGTTTTCCTGTGAGACGGGCGGGGGGCGAACCCCCGCCGGTCTTTCCCCTGCGGAGCCTCGCAGCAGCCTAGCAAGGAGGGCGTGGGGAAAACCCCGGGAGGCACCGGGCGCGCGAGTGAGACCCAGGCCTTCGAGGTAAGACTTCGAGGAAATGCGCCCACAGCTGACGCGGGGTCGGATCCCCGTGCGCACCTCCCCGCGGGTGGTTCAGGTGGGGGTTTCTGAGACCAGCGGGGCTGCAGCGGGGAGCCAATAGGCAGGCTGCTTTGGCGGCCTGGCACTCTGGGGCTAGCTGTGGACCTTCATCCTGGGTTCCCATCCAAATTGTGACACCCCTATGTGGACCAACGCTAGAGGAGTTCCCGCTCCATCCAGGCCCCCTACCCCCAAGCAGCTATACAATCCCCTCCCCCTGTGAGTCTGCTCCCCACCCCCACCCACAGGCCAGCAGGCCATCCAGCTGTGTGTCCTCTCTCTGTTTACCGTCTCCGGGTTTATGGACAAATCCCACCAGGTCAGCCAGAGATACCTCTCTCTTCCCCTCCACACCCCAGGACAGCCTGACACCTCCCATCCACACAGGCGGGGCTGCCAGATCCCCTCTCCTTGGCCTGGGGGCCACCAAGATGGCCCAGGGGTTCCTCAGATCCTGTCAGGGCCAAGATTAGCTCAAAAATGGGGCATTAGAGGGAAAAGGTTAGCCAGAGAAGGTTGGAGTTTGGGTTAATGCTGAAGTGGACCGTCAGCAAAGTCTGACAGGAGGGGGGCAAAAAGGTCCCCTAGCACTGCCATCTCTCTGAGGAATAGCATGAAGTTTTTCTTCAAAGGATTTTTTACTCTCATTTTTAGCCCACTTGGGACCACCTCCCCCACCCCATTCAGAGCAGAAATTTTGGAAGCAAGGTAGGAGGACGAAGCCTGGCAGGGGCTTTTCTGCTCTACCCACTGGACCACAGGACCAGGGGGGAGGGAGGGAATGACTAGGGTGATGACATCACCGCTAGCTGGCATCTCTACTTTTGAGCAGCTCTGAGCTGACAGTTCTCTGCACAGATGCTGGGAGGCCTAATCCTTGAATGTCCTTGGGTCTCCTTGAGAAGGAGTGTTCTTAACGGGCTGAGAGCCCCGCCTGCCCTGATGTGCCAGCCATAGGAAGAAGACCTCCGTTTAACTCACTTCTCTGGGCTTCTGTATACAGCCAGGAGCTAGTCTGCCCTACCCCAGCTTCAGGAAGTCAGCTCAAACAGGCTTCCCAACGATCTGTGGTAAGGGCATCCTCTCTTCTGGGTACCCTTCCTGGCCACCCAAATCTTGGCCATGTCCCACCTTTTAGTCCCCATGGCCCATGAGCTCCCATCAACCTGAGCACTGATTACACGGTGCAGTCTGTGTCCCTGTCACAGTCGGGGACAGTCTGTGTCTCCATCAGGACTGAGCTCCCTGACGGCAGGACAGATTCGACTCATCTTGGGGACCTCAGAACCAAAACCAGGAGGGACAGAGAGCAGATCAGTAAACATCAACGATGCATGAGTGACCCTGGAAGTTAGCTAATGCCATTGAAGGGGATCCTTGAAGTCGATGGAGGATATGATGGAGGTATAGGCCAGGGGTCAGGGCCCTCGAATTCCTCTCCCTCTAGCACCTCACATACTCTCCATTTGGTTAGCACCACGCATCCAGGACCATCTAGGACCGCCCTTGGGTGCAGAAATGACTATCAGATAAAGTAGGCATGTGGTGACACTGGCCTCTCCTGTCTCCTCTGTGTGAAAACCCCAATGGAGGACAGCTGTGGCATGCCGGCTGTGTGGCGGGTAGAGGAGGAAGAAATCCAGCCCTTGACAGGCCCCAGTGGTGGGGAATCTTGGTCTCACCCTTAGGAAAGAGGAGAAAACGCAAGATAGGAAAGAAACGTGTACTAAATCATGCCTCAACCCATGAGAGATTTGAGGAGGGGGACCTCGCTGACCTTGGGGTAGCTAGGGAGGACTCCCTGGAGGAAGGGGTCAGATTTGGTGAGAGACACGTATCTAGCACCTTAGAGTTTACACTTCATCTGTTAAACCACATGAAATTTTTGTGGACCATTTTATGATTTCAGTGGCTCTACCTAACATTCTTACTCCCATTTGTAAGCAAGAAAACTAAAGTCCTGAGACGTGCCTGCCAAATGTCTCAGAGCAAGAGAAGCTGTGGAGCTGGATCTCCAGCCAAAGGCCCCACAGGTCACGCTCTTCTCGGCTGCCCAGCTGACTCACACAGGTGGGGTGGAGGGCAGGCCCAGGTGCAGGAGGGAGGAGAGGCGGTTCTGAGTCTGGTGTGGTTGAAGCAGAGAGACAGTGAAGAATGGAGCCTCCACATTCTGTATTCTCGCCATTGCTCCAGCCAGGTCTCATGCCTTCTCATTTCCAGTGCTGCCTAGAAAGCCTGGGGTCTGTTCTGGCTCATCTGGTAACACAATAGATGGGACCTGGGGACTCCGGCAAGGGGAAGGCCCTGCCTCTGGACTGAGATAGAGAGACCTATGGCTGTCAGCTTCAGTGGGGAACTGAGTGTCTCTGAGAGACAGATGTGCTTCCTGCAGGGCTGCAGGGGCCCTGGGTATTCCTGGAATGCAAACCCAGAAAAAATCTGGGTCTAAGAGAGAAGGGGCTGGTGAAGATGGGCTTCCTAACCTTCCAGAGGAGCGGAATGGGAATGTAGCTAATTATAGGTCAGTCTCAGACCTTATTTGGTAGGAACCTGAATGGGCAGAGGGGGTTAAGAAATTCTGAAAGTTTATTTGCTTTTTGGCTGAGGGCATTGTTCTTGCTTAAAGAGACAGCTCAGAGGTAGGGGTGTGACTCCCACACCGTGTAATGCCAAGGTTTTGGCCAGTTCTGCCTGAAATTTAACAAAAAAAAAAAAAAAAAAAGAGAGAGAGAGAGAGAAGGAGAACAATGTAGGATATTTTAGGGTAAGGTTGCCAACTGTCCTTCTTAGAAGTCTGTCTTTATTCTAACATTATATCCTTGCTGCATTTTCTGTGTTGAAATGCCCTTTTATGAAATCATAGTGCTAGAAGATGGTATTTTTTATGTCCTTGGCTAAATAAAAAGTTGGCATGGGATTCTGTGTTTGTTCCCAAAAATCATTTTTGAAATGTTATTGGTCTGTGAATTCCAAAAATCCGGGGGCCCCCCGCTGTAAACAATAGGACATGAGACTGGGAAACCGAATTAAATACTTCTCTGTCATTTACCGCCTGTGTATGCCTCAGTCTTCCTCATGTGTAAAATGGGTTTAATGATGTATACCTCATAAGTTATTGTGAAGACTGAGAGAATGAATGCTTGGAGTATGACATCTCATTTGTAGTAAGTTCTCAATAAACACTGAATGATGGAATATTGAATAAAACTTGGAATATCCAATCGAGGCTATTGCCCATGGAGGAGACACTTGGCCTTTGGAATCCAATTTAGGTCACATATTTGTCTTAAAATTGCTGTTGGGACAGAAGTGATGTCTTGCCATGCAGGATTGTTTTCTTCAAATTCTCTGTCCCTGGTAAGTCTTGGCTGAGTCTCCAGAAGGCATACTTTCTTCTCTCTGGGATGAGCACTTGCCTAAGTGGGATCAGAGGAAACTGACTCAGAGGTCACACCCTTGACCCTATGCTCAAGGCCTCCACCATACACAGGTGCAACTTAATCTTACTGTTTAGGGTAGATACGGTCCTCCCAGGACACCTTCCGCGCTGCTCGGAGGCAGGTCTGCTCTAGGGGCTGGAATCAGGGATACGTAAACTTCCTGCTGGCAGTTCTGACCTGGGGATGAGGCCCCAAGAAGGAGTGTGTAGAGGTATGGAGAGAACAAATCA